TGTTGGCTCTGAAGATGGAACAAAAGGGCCAGGTAGAAGGTAGATGGCTTCTCATAGATGGAAATGATAAGGAAATGGGTTCTCCTCTAGAGGTTCTAGAAGGGAACATAACTCTGCCAACAACTTGATTTTAGCCCAGTGAGATCTATGTTGGATGTCTATTGTACAGGACACTAAGGTAATAAACTTGGGTTCAGCCACCAAGTTTGTGGTGATTAGTTTTGGCAGTCAAAGGCAGAGACCATGCTCTCCCGTCATGTGGAAGAGGAGTCTGAGGCTCAGAGATCTTGAGAGACTTGAGGTACTTTTACAGGATCACATGGGCTGGTCCCAATGATGGAATCCATATTTGAATCCAAGTCCTCTGCTGCTAGGACATACCAGATCAATTTGCATTTTGATAAAGCCAGTGACATCGACCAATGCCTCAAGATGCAACCTAGGTCTCAGCTCCCAAGATGTAGATCTGGACCTCAGGTCCTTTCTGAGCAGTTGCCTATATTCAAAAATGCACTCCTCATGAATAATGTGGCTCCATGTTCAGGTCCATGGAACTATAGATCATTAATAAATGTGAAATTTTAAGAGGGTCTAGGAGCTTAATTAAAGAGAGCAAAGTTAACAAAGGACTTGTAAAAAGGGCAATGATGCTTGGGGCGATATGTAAGCAATAGAATGTACAAATTCTAGAAGTACTGTGTGACAGGGAGGATCAATCAGAATAGACTCAACTGTCAGAAGAGACCAGAGGAGAAAATATCCAGGAGGAACGTCAATGCACAGAAAAGAAAGGAAAACATTTTAGGTAAGAAAACCTGGGAGTTTGTCTTTTACTTTTTTGTGTGTGTTTCCCAAAGTGTCACAGGAGATCATTTCTGGGAAGTAGGGAGATGACTTTAAGGTCATATGCACCAGTGCGTCCATTTCACAGCACAAGCCAATTAGACCCTCCTGAGTTGCAAGAGGGCAATTAAAATTTGAATAAAAGAGCAGAGGCTCAAAGGCAAACCCTTTCTCCGCCACCAGGAGAACTATCAAATTTATTACAACCTCTTTCAAGGGTTATGTTTGGTAAATCGGGGCACCTATGCCTTTAGTGAAACTACTCAACTAGACTGCAAATATTTCAACTTTCAGGAAGTCTTCTTCCATTTTCATCTCGGCCTTTTAATGTCCACTGTACCTTATGCATGGACGTCCAGAGCCAGGGCCATCCTTGGAAGTAGTTGCTGCCAGCAGGTTCTAAGGAGTGTTCAGCTGAGCTGTAAAACCCAGCTAAGCCTCAGACTCCAAGGCAAGCATGTTAAGAAATCATTCTTAACGATCTTAGCAACTTAGTCCACTTGTTCAGTGAATGGAGTCTGATTTTATTCACTTTGGCAAAGGATTCTGACAAAAGTTATCCTTCCAACTATTAGGGACTCAGCAGCCCTATGGAAGGTCAAATGAAACACTTGATGGTCTCAGTCTTTGTTGAATGTACCCCACTGGGATAGAGCACTCTGGCTTAAAATGTAGTAGAACAGTGGGGCAGCACTGTTGGGATCTAGCAAGGTGGTATAGTCCAAGGCATTTTGGATGCAGAGAGACCTGGCTTTGAAAACCGGGATCTGCCTACTTCCAGCTATAAGGCTATAAGGTTCACAAGAAGAGACATAATGTCTACCTTCTTCAAATCTGAATCCTCAGCAATTTAAAGCAGAGCTTGGCACGTGGTAGGTACTCATAAATAGCTGTTGAATCAATGGGTGAATTAATTCATTATCAGCATTCTCACTGACAGGAAATTGCAAAAATAATACACAGAGTGTCATGAACCTTTCAGTTAGCTTACCCCCAATGCTGACATCTTGTATCATTGTAGCACAGTGTCAAAGCCAGGAAATCGCGACAGGGATCTTTTCTATAAACATTTTTAAAATGTTTCTTATTTTTGAGAGAGAGAGAGAGAGGGAGAGAGACAGAGACAGAGAGACAGAGTGTGAGTGGGAGAGAGACAGAGAGAGAGGGAGACATAGAATCCAAAGCAGGCTCCAGGCTCTTAGCGGTCAGCACAGAGCCCTACATGGGGCTCAAACTCAAGGACTGCGATATCATGACCTGAGCTGAAGTTGGTTGCTTAACTGACTGAGACACCAAGGTGCCTCCAAAGAGGGATCTTTTCAAACCGAAAATTGAATCATGTTATTACTCTGCTTACCTGCCTTGTGGCTTCCTACTTCACTTAGAATAAAGTCTTTTTCCCATGTCCTACATGGCCCTTCGTGGTCTGGTTCTTCCAGACTCTGCAGTCCCGCCTCTTCACCCTCACCTTATGTGTCCTGGCCCCATTAACTTTGCTCGTCACTCATTTCTTCAGAGGTGCTGGGCGGTCTCCTCTCTGAAGTCCTTGGATGTGCTCTTCTCTCTGCCTGGCCTGTTCTCCCCACAACCAATGCCTTCCCATTCTGCATGTCTCAGTGTAGACCTCACCTTCTCAGAGAGGCTTTTGCTGACCACTCTATTCCACTTCTTCCCACCCTTGTGCCTCATTTCTTCCCTTGCTAGCACTAATCAACACTTAGCTCTTATATTTGGTTTGCTTTCTTGTCTGTTAGTGGAGTCTTTCAACCTTGAGTGTGTGCTCAAAGATACCAGGAGCTATATTTTGCTCATCTCAGTACAATTAGAAGTTTGACTTATAAACACTCAGGCTAATGTAAGTGTGGACTACGTTTAGACTTCAACACTGAGTAGCCAACTACCATTTGTAGAGTGTTGCACATTCCATCAACATTTTTTACACACGACCAGGTCACTGCCCTGTAAGGTCAGATTATCTGCATCCCCGTTTTACAGACTGACAATAATAACGTTCATTGATTGTGGCAGAAGGTGATTTTAATGCCCTAGATAGCTCCCCTTGACCGGCCTTGAATTTTAGCCACAGCTATGAAGGATAGTTGCTGCTCAGCTGACAGGGATCCCGTTCATGCGTGCCCCTCTCAATTCTCCACTTTTTTCCTCCTCAAGGCTGCAGTCCCTGGAGGTGGAGGAAGGGAGGGTGGTGGCGGCACTCACTCTGTTTCTCCTTCTCCCACCACGGCCTATCACTGAACACTTATGAGGCTTATTTCTCTGAAGGTACAGGAGCCTGCTCAATCTATAGGCAAGTGCAACCTGGAAAGGAGGGGAAATGACCACCCATGTGGGCTCTCAACCAGTGGGGCTTGGGGGCTGGTAGATAAACACTCCAGCTCCTTTCCCTCGATGGAAGACTGGTGGAGCCGTTCTGAACACTACTCTGGAACCCTGTCCATTTCCCGTCCTTCCCGGTCTCTCTCCTCCCCTTATCCCCTCACTCTTGGCTGCTGTAATCAGCTTCCCTTGCTTCCAAGCTCAGTGTCTCCTGGATGTTCTAATGCCTTTACATGCCTTACCTTTTTCATCCTGGTACCATCCTATGAGACAGACATTAGCATTATCCCCATGACAGAGAAAGCGGGCAGATGAATGAATGAGAAGTTAAGTGTCTTGCCAAAGGCATTGATTGACTTGCCCAAATCCCCCAGTGATTGAGAATAGTCCCTGGGGTGTTAAATCCCCTACCTTTCCAGGCTGTGTTTGCCTTCAGGCTGTGGCTTCAGAAAAGTCCCAGGGCTTTGGAGAGGGGATCAGGGAAGAAACAAGAGATGCAAGTAAATGGCAGAGTCTCACCCAGGCAAGTGGGATCCCAGAACCCACCTGTTCTACTTGGACGCATTCCCTCCTTCCAAAGAAAGGAGGTTTGGAAGTTGAAGTCACACCCCAAAATACATCCAGGAGCAGTGAAGCTTCAATTCCAAGTTAGGTCTAGGTGACACAGAGAGCTAGGCTCTCCTGCCGCACTAATGGCTCCCCTTTTAAAAAGGCCAGGTCTACTGTTGTTCTTCTTGAAACCAGAAGGAATAAAACCAGCTTAGTGAAATCCCTGTTGGATTACAGGAGCATTTCATTGTGAATCTGCAGCAGACCGTGGAAGCTTGTCTCTATCTCGACCAGGGCAGGCAGTGCTTTCCATTGATCAGGGCCCCAGGGTGTTCTGGAGCTGCTCAGTGCTGAAGAGAACAGCTGGTCATTTGGGTCTCTTCACTTTGCAGAGTCCACAACAGTATATGAAGTGGGGGCCACTCTCTCCTCCTGGAGAGCACTGAAGGCACTGGTCACATCCAGCCGTGTCCCAGGAAATGAGAGGTGAAAGGGGTGCCTCATGCCAGGTCTCCCCCTCCCAAGCCCAGCTCGCTGCCTCATAAATGTTAGCAGTCAAGGCCACCTCCTCCACCCAGAGGTGCATTTAGTCTTGTCCTCCTTCAGTCTACACTCTACCCTGCAGCCACTGAGGTCTTTCCACAGTGCTGATCTCATTGTGTCCCTCCTCTGCTTAAAATCCACTAGGGAGCTCCCTTAGCTTCTTGGGGAGAAAGACAGAAATCCCAATCATGGCCACCTAGCAGGGCCTACCCCACCCTGTGCCCATGAGCAGCCTGCCTGTCACAGAGCCCCTCACGCTCACTGCACTCTGCCAACTAGACATACCCGTCCTGCCTCCCACCATCCGAGTGCTTTCCAAGGCTGCTCTCTGCCTGGGATACTCTCCCTCCCACTCTGTCCCTGTGAAACCTGGTGCAGTCCTCATGTCGGAAGCTCCTTGACCTCCCTCTAACTAGCTGAAGTCCCTCTGATAAATGTTCTTGTGTAATCCTCTGCCTTTCTTTGTTGCCCATGGCATGTGGTTATTTTAACATCTGCCTCCTCTACTAAAGTGTGAGCTTCTCAAGGTGAGGCACGTTTCTGTTTTTTCTCACTCCCATATCCCCAGTGCCTTGCATAGCAGTGGGTGCAATGTGAGTATCAATGAATGAGCAACCCTAGGCTTGGAAACAAGGGCACGGGGAGAGAGTGGAAACACCGTGCATTTATACCTTATTCTTCCATTGTTCAAGCTAACCAGATTCTATTGCAATTCTGCTCTCTCCAGCCAGCACTGTAAGCAATAACTTTATTAAGATCAAATAGATAACACAATACAGTATTTATCCCGCAGGATCCAGAAACTGGTTACAGATATCATCTAAGAACCACAGCTGTTTTGTGCTAAAATGCTTCCAAAATCACAGATCACACAGAAGTCATACATTGATTACAACTTTTATCTGGAAATACGGATGCACAGTTTGCTCTCACTGTTGGGCCTTGATGTTTCAAGTGAGTCAAAACAGAGGAGGAAGATTGGCATTTTCTTGATAATGAATAAATTCTGAGGAATATTTCATGAGAACCCTCTCTGGGATCAGAGTTGCTCATGGAAGTCATTTCTAATTTATGGGTAACACTCAAATTGGAATTAGTAATTAGTAAGTTAAGCTGTGACTTGAGAAATTTTAATAATTGGATCAAGGAACATATTAACTTCACAAATAGGATTTAAAAGTTTGGCTGGTAGTATAGGTTCTACAGAGCATCCTTTATAAATTAATACATCAGTTATCAATTCTCGGCCTTTTGGCTAGGATCAAGTATAAATTAATACATCAGCACAAAAGCTCTTGACTACGGTGTCTGATATCTGCATCTTATTATTCTAAGAAAACAACACCCCCTAAACACAAACAGTTATTGGGCCTATTGTTCATGGTACACAGGATAAGAGCCACAAAAACATCATAGAAAGTTACAAGAATGTAAATATTTAGGTAAGCAAATAGAATAAATATTGGGCAGTTACCATATATAACACTGAATATTGACTAACAGGGAAAAAAGTCCCAAACCTTAGTTACGGTGCAGTCAGAGTTAGGTAAAGCCAAAGAGACAGATTTGCGAGTATACAAAGTAATGAACATATTTCTTTAAACGTCCATTTAACAAATTCATGGTGCAAACTGGAAATTTTTCATAAATACATTTTGTGAGAAAATGCTTATTCATGCACTAAATCATATGAGCACTGATTGATTCATCAAATAAAAAAAAAACAGAGTAACTGTCTGAAACAAATACTTAAGGGACTCACAGTCCTAGTGTCTGTAACTAAACACAATAATACATGCATGTGTGTGATACACCAAATTGTCTTATAGAAATCATTAAAATGTCTTTCGCATCAAAACACAGAGGAAAACTCAGTGCTATAGAATTTATTTTCTGCCTATTACATACTAGAGACTTTAAGCCACTAAATGCTTTTATTATCTCCACACACCTACAAAGCGACCATCCAAGTATCTGTGTATATAACAAGGTACTCTCCAATTAGGCATCTATGATGAATAATGTATCTCCTCATGTCATCTCCTCTCTAAGTACCATTTATCACGACCCAGGCCTTTCTGCCTTAATGAGGACTCCAGATCTCTGATTTACATTCAACACCCTCTACGTTAATAATTGATGGAAACTCTTAAAAAACTCTTCTGCTACTAAAATGGAAGGTGGGGAGGCTACCTCCAGAAGAGTGCAGAGACTACTGGTTAAATCTGATTGGTAAAAGAGGCGGGGGCACTGGACTGTTGGCCAAACTCATCTGAGGACGGCCCCATGCTCGCCTGCTGGCTGTACCCACCGCTTGACCCATAGCTGTCTTGGTTGTACCCGCCTTGGTTATAGCTGCTCGAGTGCTTTTCCATCGGGTCTGAAAGGTATCTCTGTCCCGAGGAATGCCAGCCGGTCTCCTTGAAAACAAACCAGATGTTTCCAGCCCAGAGGATAAAGTTCAGAAACCCAAAGACCTGAAAGGAGAGTCAGAGCAAATGAGTTGACAGATGGACACACAAGAAAAATCTCAACTTCAGAAAAATCCTTCATAATACATAAGGCTACTTCTCATTCAATAGTGAGATCTCTTCCAATTTTTCATTTGGAGCCACTGTTTCTTTTAGAATATCTGACTATTTTTTTATTTACATCCAAGTTAGTATATAGTACAATAATGATTTCATAAGTCTAATTCAGTGATTAATTCCTAATGAATAACAGCCAGTGTTCATCCCAACAAGTGTTTTCCTTAATGTCCCTTACCCATTTAGCCCATGCCCCCATCCCCAACCCATCCAGTGACCCTCAGTTTGTTCTCTATGTTTAAGAGTCTCTAGGTTTTGTCCCTCTCCTTGTTTTTATATTATTTTTGTTTCCCTTTCCTTATGTTCATCTGTTTTGTATCTTAAAGTCCTCAGAGGAGTGAAGTCATATGATATGTCTTAGTCTCTGACTAATGTTGCTTAGCATACTACCCTCTAGTTCTGTCCATGTAGTTGCAAATGGCAAGATTTCATTCTTTTTGATTGCCGAGTAGTACTCCATTACACACACACACACACACACACACACACACACACACACCCCACATCTTCTTTATCCATTCATTCACTGATGGACTTTTGGGCTTTTTTCATACTTTGGCTATTGTTGATAGCACTGCTGTAAACATTGGGGTGCATGTACCCCTTAGAAACAGCACATCTGTATCCCTTGGATCAATAACTAGTAGTGCAATTGCTGGGCCATAGCCTAGTTCTGTTTTTAATTTTCTGAGGCACGTCCATACTGTTTTGAAGAGTGGCTGCACCAGTTTGCATTCCCACCAGCAGTGTAAAACAGATCCTCTTCCTCCGCATCCTCACCAACATCTGTTGTTGCCGGAGTTGTTAATTTTAGACATCGAATATTGGCATTTTATTGAAGCTTACTACATGTTAGGCACTGTGGAAAGGTCAATCCATTCATTCTGTCTGAGAAGAAGGTGTTATTATTTTACCTGTATTATAGATGTGAAAACTGAGGTTCAGGATAAGAATCTTGTTTAAGGTCATGTGACTTGGTAAGTGGTAGAAGAAGGTCAAGCCCTATTCTGTCTGACTTCATAGTCTGAGCCTTTAAGCTTACTGTCCCAAGTCAGGTGTTCCTCATTATCTGTAAGAGACCTTCAGGGGCTACAGAGTTGAGAACTCTGATTTTAATGATAGTGCATTAATTTATAAGGTTTCCTTCACTTCATGGCTAGAGATACTTCTCTTCTAGTTTTTGTAGGGATATAAAAAAAATGAGTCAACCTAAAGCGTGGAGCAAGCAATCCTGCAGGTGGTGTGCAGATAAGCACATGAATGGTAGCGTACACAAAGGTTAGAACTTTGAATAGTTGTACTTTTTGTGCCTCTCACATCCAGAAATGAATGGTGAAACCAGACTCTCGATGCAGCACAGGTTTCAAAGAGGTAGGAGGCATTCTCCCAAGAACTGGCTAGGAGGCTTTCCTATGGAATTTCCTCTTACTCCCCCAAAGCATGATGTTGTTGGTGGTGAATCAGAAGACCGGGTGTTGCCTCTCCAGACCCTCCCTGTTTGAAGGAAGCAGAGCTGTTCTCTGATGCCAGAGGCCTTGAACAGAACAGCTATTCTGTAGCCTTCCCCAGGGCACATTTACTGACCAGGGAATTAACCAGAAGCAGTCAATTGTAAGAGCCCCCTATCAGAGACAGACAACAGCATGACATGAGCTGTGATGACATTAAAGCACATTTAGTAACCATTCCAGCTCGCCAATCGCCAAGAAAAATGGACTTGAGCCACTGGCATAGCTGCGGATTATAGGGTGCTGGAGGTGCCTTGCTGGGCCAGGATCTATCCTCGGTTGCTGGATGGCAGGGAGGTCCCGAGTGCCCTGCAGGTGTGAGTGGGGGGCCAGTGTAGTCAAGATGAAGTGCCTTGGGGACCTGGAGCAGGGGCTATTTACCCAAGTGTTTCAGTGTTTTAGCAGCAGGTAGATCAGGGCACACTCCCTGAAGGTCAGCTTTGGACTCATCCTGTGGGTTTTGAAATTAGAGTGGCCTCAACTCTGCACTTCCTTGCTCTGTGACCTTGGACAAGGCAGTTAGCCTCTGGACCTCAACTCCTCCACACCCCAATACAGAATGAAGACTATTCCTTCCTTGGGTGACAGCTGTGAGGGTTAAAGAGAATGTGTTTTAAGTAGCTAGACGGTGCTAGACCCATTAGAAGATGCTTCCTGCCTGGTCAGCTGTGTTCTGAATACTTTCTCCAATGTTTCCATGAATTGTATTCAGGTGGTCCTCATGCTGCAGCATAAACTGAAACGGGACTTTGACAGCAAGGCCATATTCTTGAGGGACATTGGCAGCCAAAGCAGGCTGTAGGCCTTCAACTGATCTAAAAGACTGGTTTATCCAGGGCCTACCTCTCTCTTCCTACTCTCCTATTCCACTCTCTCCTCTTTCTTTACTGTTAACTGACATTTGTTTAACATTATCTCATGCCATGCTCCAGGCTCCTTGCTGATGGAGATACAAGACACAACAAAGGTACTCACAGTATAATAGTTGTATGATCAAAATGAATTAGGTAATCACTGACCGAACTCTAATGCACATGCAGGACCTTTCATCCAAGTGAACAATAACTAGGAGATTTGCCATCAAAGGGCAGATCTTGAGTCAACTGTATCTTTGTATGTATATGTCAATATATGAGTAGAAAAGATGATCAAGGAATCTTCTCAGATACGAAGAGATGGCTCTGCCCAGAGCTCTAATTTTAAGTCTTCCTCTTCCTTGGTTTCTCCGTTTTGCTGGCTGCTACTTGGCTTCTAGAGAAGAGACGCTCAAGAAGAACCCGGCGATCAGGAGGAAGCCACTTAAAAGTGAGTACACAAACAAGGCATCCCCATGCGCATGTTTCAGAAGCAGGGATCTCCTACCCCACCGGCATTGCACAGATATCGCAGACCCCTGGCTGGCACGTTTTGGGGGCACGTGGGCCCTTGAATCTTTTCTCACCATTTTGTTGCAGCTGAAGTTAGAGTAAGGATTTTGATTCAAGTGTAGATGTGGGGGCAACAGAAGGAGAAACTGTAAGACACGGAGCATAGCAGAAGGAAGAATGAGGAGGTGAAATTTAGATTGGCTGAGAAGATGTGTCAAGATTGCCTTTAATGAAGGTGGAGAAGCAGAAGTAGAAATTGTGAACAGGGTAGTTAGGTTCAGAGAAGCTTTGCAGGAGAAGTTGAGAGAAAAAAAAAAACATGTTCTTTCCTCCTACCCCCTTCTTTGGGCTCTAACACTAAGTGACATTTAGGACCATGAATGCATTTTAGAGGCAGCTTTTTGGTCGACACTTATTGAAAGCCTGTCATATGCTGGGCACTGTGCTGAGGACTTATCATGTATTATCTCATTGAATCAACAGTCTTGTGAGATCTGTTCGATAATAGCCCCATTTTACAGAGAGTGAAACTAAGGGTTAGGGACCTTAATGAATTTGTCCAAGGGCAGTCAAGTAGGCAGTCGTGGAGCTGGGATTCAAACCCTGGCAGATGGACTCCAAAACTGTGCCCCTATCCATTGTGAATGGCAGAAGCATGAAGAGAATTTGGCTCTAATCTTGCATTGCTGTCACTACTTGGGAAGCCACATGCAAGTCCTTTCAGAGCACCTACCTGCATTTGTAATGCAGCTCCCCTGACTATTTGTGTTGGTATGAAATCCTAGATGCCAAGACGCTTTGGAGAAAGCAGGTTTATTACCGGGGTAGAAATGTCAGTGCTATTGCTGAACCAGTTACTTGGAGAGGTCACCTCTGTGGTGTGTCTATCTCCTCCAAAGCCTACACTTGCTTAGTAGGCAAGGTGGTTTGGTGCTGTGAGCCGTATTTCTTCTGCATGATTCCCCAAACCCCCAGCCAAGGTGGACATGTGGCCCAAGATGAGCTAATGAGATTCTCTCTGCCAGAAATTTGGGATTAGACTTAAGTGACTTTAGTTCAGTCCAAGATGTTTCCTTAAAAAGAAATATAATCTCAGAAACCGTGGGGTGGCTATCTTCTCTTGCAAAAACAGCAAAAAGAAAGACAAATGCATCTGAAAAGAGACAGTAACGTAACAGATCTTCAGAAAGAGAGATGAGGGAAGGAGGATGCAAACCATCCAGTTGCCTGCCAACTCCTGGTCCCTAGTTCTGCCCTTGGAAGACCCAGTTCTAGTATTTTTCCAGTTACTTTTACTTATTGTGAAAAGCTAGCTCAATAGGATTTGGAGCCAAATGAGTTTGTAATGGAAAAAAAAATTGCTGTGGTTTGGCAGATTACCATTCTTTCCCTCTGCTTTAGCTAATAGAAATGTCGTTTCCCTCGTAAACCCAGTTGCAGTCAAATGGTTGGAGCTCTGTGCTAGAACTTTAAATCAGGACCAAGTCAGATACAACGTTGTTTGGTATCTGACATCTAGAACCTTGGTCCTGCTCTAGTTGCTGCTTTTTTAAAAGCCTGTTCCCTCAGATTTCATCAGGTTTCCGAGCTACTTAATATCCTTCCAAAGGTTTTCTTCCCCCCCGGATGAGATTAGTCAGAGTCCGTTTCTGTTACTTGCAACCCAAATGCTCCAGCCCATGCAGACACTGGTGCGGAAGCGGGGTCCAGAGAACCGAATTTAGGGATAGGTGCATTATTTTGCTTTAGTTGGTTTGAACTGAATTTTCTGTCACAGGAACTGGAGGGGCCTTAACTAGATCTGTAACAGTAATAGCAGCAGACCTGTCCTTTCTCACATAACGTGCTCTCTGGCTTCCATCCATTGCCCTTTTGGATTTAAAATTTTTTTTAAGTTTCATATTTTATGTAGAATTATGTATTTATGTGTCTAATTTCGTGGACATTTTCTTCTTTTTCTATGGAGTTTAGTTGACACACAACATGGATGGACCTGCAGGGTATGATGCTAAGTGACATCAGTCAAGCAGAGAAAGGCAAATCCCTCTTTTTGATTTTAGGAGACAGGTCACATTGTTTCTCATTCAAAGTCCCAATCGCCTAGTCTAAAACTTATTAGAGACATCAAAGGTAGAATTAAATAGACTATGCAGGATGTCATAATGTATTAGATTATTAAACCAACAAATGTACTGGATGATTTTCGCATTTTTCCTCTTAGATTTTGAGATCAAGATTACAGTAACATTCATTCCGCACTGCCTAGAAACAGACTATCAACACAGTAGAATATATTTCCTCACACACCTCCAAGTATTCAAGTATTCACCTGTGGGTGTGTCCACCCATGAGGAAAAATGATGGTGAGCCCCTCATATATGCTCTCTTTCCATGTTTACTCTCTTACCAAGGCAGGATTCACAGTCAAAGCATCAGGACGTGCCTGGCAACCCTGTCCCCTACTTAACTTCCTTCTCAGATTAAATTTCAGAAGGCTGTAGAAGCAGAAGTTAACCCTGAAGCAAAGATAATTATATTTAGGGGTCGCTTAAGAATGTTTTTCCTTTGGCAAACACTGTCAGCTTTTCTAGTCTTCAGGAACTATTGCTTTTTGAAGCTGCTATTATAGCTTCTGTCTTTCTTAGATGCAGTTTCTTTCTTTAAAATAACCCAAGAATCCAATTTGGTTGCCCTGCTATCTGTCAGATTTTCTGTATTCCTGTGAGAACTATACATCTGAAAATATTTGGCTTTGCTCAACTAATATAGTTCAGCTTTTCCAAAGTTACCAGGCAGTTAAACCGGGAACATGGAGACGATTAAAAAAAAATTACCGTAACTGTTGGAAGTATTTTTTCTACTGTGCAGCTAGCTCTTTCTGCATCCTACCAGGTCGGAGTGTTTTTCCTCCAGACGATCAACTGGATGTATTCTAGCTCTGTGTGGCTTGAACAATGTTTTCTTCCCAGGAAACCTCTCTGCCATCAAATATTCCTTTTAACTTCTGGCAGGCGTCAGACTTAAAGTTCAACTTTTATATCTGCTTCTGGCTTAGAATTTTGACTTGACTGTCATCCAGGCAGCAGCTGCCAGCACCTGCTGGGTTCTTATTAAGACTCTGTAATTGGCAGCATTAAAGCCTATGGGTTCTGACAATAGAAAACTTGAAGGCCAGAGGATCATCTTGCACATGGAGTGAAATATCGCCTTTTAGACTGGCCTCGTTCTGCAAGCAGAAATCTCCAAGGTGACTTCTGAGATATTTTCCTATTCATTTGAATGGCAAATAAAAGTTTGGGGGGTAAAGCATAAAAGAAAACATACCACGGAAGTGTTTAAGCTGGACATTACAGGGCTGTGGACAGCCATGCATTTGTTGGACGGCTGTTTGCAAGCTGACATCAGCAACAATACTTCCTTAGGATCCGTCGCGACCTTGACATCAGACAGTCCTTTCGCCCAAGCTGATGAACCCACCAACCACAAGAATGAAAAGACTACCGTGATGATGAAGTCCTACAGAAACAGAAAGATAAAATAGTAAGAGAAGTGTGAAGTGTGAATTCCAGAAACAAATTGATTACTTTCTACAACGATTTGCGTTGCCTTTTGGAAAATTCCAAGATCCCACAGTACCGGAATGGGGAAGAAGTTGAAAAACAGATAAAAGAAAGTTTTATGATATTCCAGTTGTCTCAAATAAATAATTGTAATGTTTATGGAACGCTTGCTATGTTCCAGGAATGATGCTAAGTACTTATAACCCTCATTTAATTGTTCATACAGCATTCCTGTGAGGAAGTTCCTATCATTATCCCATTTGCAGATGCAAAACCAGGACAGGGAATAGTCAAATAGCTTGTCTGAGGTGCCCACAAACAATCAGTGATGGCGTCGGCACTCAAACCCGGGCAACCCAACCTTGAGGCCCATGATCATAACCACTATGTTATGATGGCTGCAAACAGACAGATTTGCTGATTGATAAAGATTCCTAGATAGCAATTTTCATTTTTTCATTCATTCATGTTTTTCATTTAACAGACCTATGTGCCATCCGGTATATGCTGGGACTGTGTTCAGTGGAAGCAGTAAATAGCTTTTGAGTGCTTTTTATGGGCAAGAGGTTTTATGGAAAATGATCCTTACAAGCACACTGTTAGATAGTATTTTTAATACTCATTTTAAAATTTTTATATATATACAATATTTTGTCAAGTTAGCTAGCATACAGTGTATACCGTGTGCTCTTGGTTTTGAGGGTAGATTCCTTTGATTCATTGCTTATATACAATACCCAATGCTCATCACAACAAGTGCCCTCCACGATGCCCATCACCCATTTCCCCACTTCCCTGCCACCCCCCATTAATACCCATTTTAAAGATAAGGAAATCACGGCCCAGAGATAAAAGGTAACATATAGAAAGGGGTAGAGCCAGAATTCAAATCCAGGTCTGACTTACAAAACCATCTGCTATGAATACAGGGGAAAGAAGCTTCTTCATCTATATGCAACAATGCCTCTATGATGGAAGAGGTTTAAATGTTTAAAGGAACATTTCTAAGCTTCCGATGATGGGGATACTTCTCATTTCCTCCTCATGACTCAGATGGGTGGGAGTTAGAGTCACTGTCCGTGTCTTAAGCAGATCAGGACACTCTTTCAGATTTACTGTATTTACGTTTGACTAGCATGAAAAAGTTGCCTACTGCTTACCTAGTATACTAAAGACACTGACATGGAAAGAAAAAGAGTACATTTGCTATATCAACACAGAGACTTGTTTTATTCTAAATGCTAAACCCATCAAGTAGAAAACTTGCCCGTGTCTCTTGCCTACCCAAGGGCATGGCACACCTGACTTGCTCTGGTTAGTTTTCCCTCATGACATGACTGGATGAGTTTTCATCAAGATCCCATGATTGACACTGAGGGAACTCTTGCATTGTAAGGATACTGTTGTGGATGGTATTTGTCAGGTGTGGCTTTTGTGGAGAATGTTCTAGACTGTCCACTTCTAAGAATGGCTGAATTTTCACAAAAATTGTTATCTTTTCATTCAAAAGCTGTTGCAAATAATGTGACTTACCAGTTGACCTTTCCATGTTGGCTCTAGAAATTCAGGGCCAATTTGTTAACTACTCACAGGGTTTTTATGGCGTGGATATTTTAATTCCATTCCCAGACTTGTTTTATATCCATCTTTCCTTTCCCTTTTCATTTTTAGTTATTTCCACTTTGAGTTTCATAATCCTTGTAAGCTATCTTAAGTTTTTTCTGGAATGAGATGGTAGTATAAACAGACAAACAAATACGGTACCTACAGCAATCAATAAGAACATTTGGAATCAAAAGACTCAAGTGTTTGAGTCTGAATTACAAACTGGAGGAATACTTACAAATAAATAAGCCAGGTTGATTATGTCAAATATAAATTTAGGTTCATGTTCAATCTAGTACCTAGAATGAATTCATTCATTCAAGTAATTTTTTTAAAAAATTTAATGTTTATTCTTGAGAATAAATCTATTATATATTCTTGTTTACTTATGTCTAGAGACAGAGTGTGAGCAGGGGAGGGGCTGAGAGAGAGGGAGACACAGATTTGGAAGCAGGCTCCAGGCTCTGAGCTGTCAGCACAGAGCCTGATGTGGGACTCGAACTCACGAACTATGACTCATGACCCGGGCCAAAGGTGGACGCTTAACCAACTGAGCCACCCAGATGCCCCTCAAACAATAATTTTTGAGTAATGTGCCAGATATTGAGGGATTTAAAAAATGCAAAATGTGGACTGTGCTCTCTTGATATTACATATTTGCTAGGGGCTATTGATACCCCACCATTCCAATTATGAGACAGGAGCTGTCATGATTTCTGTTCATCATAATTAAAAACAAATTAAAAAGTTTTCTCAAAAACTTGAGAAAAGGGTTAGGATGGGGAAACAAGAACAGAGTTATATGACAACCTCTCCACTGGAAATTGGAGAAAGTAATATCAAAACTTTGACTTATTTGTTAATAACAGAAAGAATACCTAACATTTTTATGGAGCACTTATTATGTGTGAAATACTATTCCAAGTTTGCCTGAATTAAGTCATTTGATCTTGACAACAGCACTGCAAAACAGATGCCAATCCTGTCCCCATTTTACAGTTAGGGAAACTGAGGTACTAAGGGGTTAAGTAAAATTGCTCAGAGTCAGGAGTAAGCAAGTGGTGGAACCAGGAATGTAAGCCTGGCCATCTGCCTCTGGTACCTGTGAGCTTAAGTCTATATTTCTCTTCATGTCTGCTTTAAGGAATATTGATCTTCTCACTTAAACCAAGTACACCAAGAGTTCAAAAGTTGGACTTGAATTCCCAATTAATTTAAATATGACAAAAAGTTAAGGAATCATTTTCTCTATATAAACTTCATGAGTGAAGTCAAGGATCTGTGTCCTTGGGAGTAAATATGCTATATTTAGGAGCACATCCAAACTTTTACCCCTGGTACCATTTTGTAAAGAGGTATCAGGATATCGTATTAAGGTATTTCTTACATAAGGTAACAGCTCAGAGTCTGTCATCACGTAAACCTGAGGCTGAATACTGACCCTGCTACTTACTATGTGTTCTTAGACAATATGCTAGACTACTTGAAGCTTCAGTTTAGCTCACTGTAAAACGTGACAATAATAGTATCTGTCTCCTAAGAGTTGTGAGAAGTGAAAATATGTGTATTTACCTGTTTTTCCCAGTCAGATGTCAGTTCCAGGAGGGCAGGGATTATTTACCTTGCTCATTATTGGGTCTTGGCAGAAGAGTTGCCATCAATATTTATTAAGAGAAAGAATGAAGGAAGGAAGGAAGATACAAAATTGTCTCAATTTTGTTAAAATATTTACATTTATGGAACATTACAAAGGAGTTTACCCAGTGGTGGTGGTAGGATTAGAGATGACTTATTTTCTTTTACACAAGCTTATGTATTTTTATACATGCCTTGTTTTATAATTAGATCAAATGAAAACAATGTGGCAATGTAATCAAGACATTGATTGATTATATCAATGGCTCTCCCTGACAGAACTTCAGATGGCTCTATTTGTCCCTATAGTAGCATCAAGATTTATAACTGGACTAAATAATAAAGGTCATTAGAATGGAGAGTTTTGCATCAAAAGGGCTTCAGAAAGTAGTCTCAAGACAGATTTTCCACAACTAAGCAAAGTGTGAATATGGGGGAAATTATGTAAAAAATTCTAGGTAAAAAATATATTAGCCTGAACTTTGTTTCTTGGCTTTGGCATTGAGCACGAATTTTAGGCCACTTGCAGGGAGTGAGACGTGGAAGGAAAACCCTCACCCCACTTTCCTCCTCACCCATCTCCTGTTGAGGCTCCCATTGGCCACACCAAGCTGGAGCCCAGAGGTCAGGGGGCCCACTGATGTGACCCATGCAGTCACGTCCTGAGTAGAGAGTACAGTGGGGAGGGGCAGGGCAGCCATCAGAAGCTGTCCCCCAAACTAGAGGTTGCCTGCGGGGTCACAACCACAGCTGCTGTCATCCGTGTTTACCCAGCGTTTCCTAGAAGCCAGGCCCTCTGCTAAGCACCTACAGGCATCATTAACCTTACGACATAGGTACTTGACGTTAGCCCTTCTTTTCTTATGAGGAAACTGAAGCAGAGACAGGTCAAATACTTTGCTTATAATTAATGCCTAGCTTGATGACTGCAGTGTATCATGAGCTTTCTGAAAGGTTGGGGGAAATCTTATGTATTTTATATAGGTAGTTACCTTAGTGGGTGTTTTCTAAGTTTGTTATTTTGGCACTACCTAAAAACAGTTTTGATTTTATCCACCTAGTCTTGTATTATTGCTTAATATTAAACTTAAAGCAAGTTACTCTTTTTACATAAACAAGGTTATTTCAGAAGGAAATTATACGTGTACTATGTTAAGCCAATACAACTTACTGTAGTTAGGAGGCTATTGCAAACATAAGTGCTCCACAGTGACAACAAAATACCTTAAACCCTAGCTGGGAATGTTTGTACAAGGCTTTAGAGCCTAGGATCTTTGTTAAAAGGGAGATTAGCCAGAGTTAGAGGGATATTAAAGAAATACTGGCATGGTTGAAGCAGATGACCTGATGTTGAAGTGAACATGGAATGACTTCCTCAGTCCTGTTACTCAATGCCATGTGAATGGTCCACTTAAACCATCTTCTGACTCAGGAGAGGTAAATGCCTTGCCCTGGACAAGGGACTTTCTTCTGATGGTGCAGACAAGAACCAGGTGTTTATAAATGTTCCTGCCTCAGGTCTGTCTAGCAGAAACAGAGTGCAGGGAAGAAACTCAAGAGGTAGACCTGGAACATTCACTGCTAGGTTATCATGGTGCCTATAGTAACCCTTTGAAGGTGTCTTCTGCTGGCTTTGCTTGTGTTCTTCATTCTCCTAGAGTGGAGAGGCTGCCATTAGTTTTATACTTCCAGAAACCTTGCACGCTTGTGGTCCCC